GACAGCTTCCAGGAAAACACCATGGGTCTGTTCTCAGCAAAATGTCCTCTCACGTGTCTGTTTCATCCACACAGCCTCTCGTAAGACGGTGTCCAGGAAAAGGTCACATGACAAAGGTGAGTCTCCAACAAAACCAGAAATTTCCACTTCACACACCTTTGGTCCCACCAGTTGGGAGACAGAGACAGGTGAATCTCTGTTAGTTCAAGGCCAGTCTGGGCTACAGAGGAAGTCTCTGAACAGTCAGGGCTACACAGAGAAACCCTGTCTTAAAGAAAGAAAGAAAGAAAGAAAGAAAGAAAGAAAGAAAGAAAGAAAGAAAGAAAGAAAGAAAGAAAGAAAGAAAGAAAGGAAGGAAGGGAGAGAAAGAGAGAGAGAAAGAGATAGTAAGAGAAAGAGAGAGAGAGAGAGAGAAAGAGAGAGAGAGAGAAAGACAGACAACAGAAAAAAGATTGGGTGCCTTAGGGTTTCCATTTCTATGAAGAGACTCCATGACCAAGGCAACTCTTATAAAACTCTTTTATTTATTTATTTATTTATTTATTTATTTATTTATTTATTTATTTTGGTTTTTCAAGACAGAGTTTCTCTGTGTAGCCCTGGTTGTCCTGGAACTCACTCTGTAGACCAGGCTGGACTTGAACACAGAAATCCACCTGCCTCTGCCTCCCAAGTGCTGGGATTAAAGGTGTGCGCCACCACTGCCCGGCTATAAAACTCTTATAAGAACAACATTTAATTGGGGCTGGCTTACAGATTCATAGGAGCATGGCAACTTCCAGCCAGGCATAGGAGGTGCAGGAGGTGCTGAGAGGTCTACATCTTGATCTGACTGCAGCTAGAACAAAAACCATCTCTCATGTGGCTAGGAGAAGGGTCTCGAAGCCCACCCCTACAGTAGCACACTTCCTCTAACAAGGCCACACCCACTCCAACAAGGCCACATCTCCTGATAGTGCCACTCCCTGGGCCAAACATATTCAAACCATCACACTTGGTCTCATAGAGTCCAGGCTGGCTTTGAACTCCTACTTGTTAAGGCTTAGGTAAAATTTAAGACCCTAGATAACTGTTACCTGGCTAGCCTGTCATTTTGTGCTTTTACTAATATTATAAGGAAACTTTCACATACGTTTCTGCTGTTGTTGGGAAACTTTCTTTTTTTTTTTTTTTTTTTTTTTTTTTTTGGTTTTTCGAGACAGGGTTTCTCTGTATAGCCCTGGTTGTCCTGGAACTCACTCTGTAGACCAGGCTGGCCTCGAACTCAGAAATCCGCCTGTCTCTGCCTCCCAAGTGCTGGGATTAAAGGCGTGCGCCACCACCGCCCGGCTTGTTGGGAAACTTTCTAACTCCCAAGTTGATTACATATTCTGTTATATCCTGTGCCCTTGGAAACCAATCACAATAGAAGTCAGTAGAACTGCTTTGTATAGTTACCCACAGTAAGCTTGGACACGAACCAACCACCCAACAGCACTTCCTGTACCTGTGTATAAACTTTTATGGTATTTGCTTTTACAAGCTGCCCCTGGGATGGACTCCAACATAAGACAGACACCTGCACCGATACAGGAAACTATTTGGAATAAAGCTTTGTAAGGACCCAGAAAGAGGATGCCATCTCAAGTCCCAATTAGCGCGCACCCAAGGAGATACGAGAGACTTACTTGATGCAATGGCAAAAGGCAGTTTACTAACAAGGGCCCTTGGATCGAAACTCATCCCACGCAGGGGAGAGAATTTCGATGAAGACCCCAGGAAGTTTAGAACTTTTATAGGGGGAGGCACAAGGGGGAAGGGAAAAGTGGGAAATTCTGGCACGATTACATATGATTGGATATTTCAAACATCAGCACTTTGCGTAAGCAATCATTTTGACAGGCTGGATGGCCCACTATTTTTGACCATGAAGCCTCAGACCTTCTAGGATAAACACCAGGTGGCCCATTACTCACTTGGGCATGTTTAGACTGGTCAAGATATGTCTTTGTTTGTTTCTACATTTCTGGTCACCTCGTCCCTAGAGGGGCTTGATATTTTTATTATGGCTACTCTCAGAAAGCTCAGCAAGCTGTCCTGCGGTCTTTGCCAAGTTGTTTGTGGTCTCTGCTGAGCTGCTTTAATTTTTACCCTTACAGCTTCTGTTTTGAGTAGGGGGTCCAGTAAAGCTTAAGCTCCCAAGACCTCCCTGGAGACTCACATCCTACTTGACAGAAAGAGACATATGTGGGTTACTGACATCCTGGTTGGCAAGTTAAGACATGAATGTTAGCAAGTCCCCTGCCATCACTGAATACCCCTACCAATGGGAGCACGCAGGATAAGTACAACAAAGACATGTTCCTAAGGAAATCCCCCTATTCCTAAATCCTTTTTTTTTTTAAAGATTTATTTATTTATTATATATGAATACACTGTAGCTGTCTTCAGACACACCAGAAGATCTCATTACAGATGGTTGTGAGCCACCATGTGGTTGCTGGGATTTGAACTCAGGACCTCTGGAAGTGCAGTCAGCACTCTTAACCACTGAGCCATCTCTCCAGCCCCCTATTCCTAAATCCTGATTGGTGGAATAACTTGACACAGATGTTTATAGATCTCAGGCTTAAAGAGCCTTGTAGAACCTTAACTCAGGGTCTTGGTTCAGTTCCCAAATCTGGACCATGTTCCTGGTTGAGCAGTTCTGGGGCATGTGCCCAATAAACTATCCCTGTCTGAGATCAGTGTTCATGTGGTTTGTGGGGTGATTCCTGGACCCCAACACTGCTGACCCTCCTGTGTCTACCTCTCAAGTTCTATCATTTTAGGTGTGTGCCACTGTTCAACATAGGCAGTGTTGGGGATCTGACCCAGGACTTCCTGCTTGCTGGACAGCACTCTATCAACTGAGCTACCTTCCTGGTCAGGGTGCCATCTTTTATGCCTGTTTTGGCTCAGAATTATGAATTACGGATTTATTTGTATTGTCCCCAGTCGTGGATTGTTCCTTAAGGTTAAAACTTCTAATTACTGCAGAAAAACCAGCAAGCCAATATATAGGCGCTCTATAGGTTGCCATGGCTGGGAATGGACCTGTACGGGCATGTATGGTATATGGTCTAAACTTCCCAGCATGGTGAGCCACTTCACTTGGAGCAGTATTTACCAGTTGCTAATATTCTAATCACACTCACAGACTTGAGTGACATTGTGCATGTGAGATTACTAGGTTAAGTAGCCACTAAATCTGAGTTATTTGTTTGGATAAGCTTTTAGTTTCATTTTCTTAAAAAAATGCTAATTTTAATACACATTTGTAAAAATACATCACTTTTTCCTTCCCAGCCCCTGCTCTGAGAATGAGGACTCTGAGACTAATTATTTATTAATAAATGCCTAGGCCACAAGCTTAGATTCATTCCTTGACTGTCATATAAGTTTTTAACCCATTCAAACTATTCTATGTCTTCCCCATGGATAGTTACCTCTCCTCAGTTTTATGCGTCCAAGTCTGGGGCAAATCTCCCCTTTATTCTATCCTGCTGCTTTATATCTGTCTCCTCAGCGCTCCAGCCCGAATCTCCCACACCTCTCACCATTTCCCAGAATCCTCTCTCTTCCTGCCAGTGTCCCGCCTCCTATTTCCTGCCTCAGCTCATTGGCCACAGGTTTTCTTATTGACAGGTGGTGTGTTGAGGTTTGGTAGTTTGCTATGTGTTGTAATGCTTAATACTGGCCCCTAAGACCTGGACAGTGGGTTTGAGGCAGGTCAGTAAGAGCCCATCTCCAAGAAAAGAGAATAACAGAAAGAAAAGAAGAGAAGAGAAAAGAGACGAAAAGGGAATCAAAACAAAATGATCTCAAATTATCTGGAGAATTATCTCAGATTCTATCAAGTTTCAGATTTTATTCGAGAACTTTCGGATTATCAAACCTCAAAGACGCCAGTATACAAGGTACTAGTTAGGAATAAAGACACTTGAATTTGGTTCTATTTTACACTTACGGTAGTCAGACCAATCGTGGTGTGATGCGGTGCAGAGAAACAGCTCACGTGGGTGGTCGCAGTGAAATAATTCATGTTTGACATCACTGCCCATAAAAAAAGTCTTTATTACTTTTGAGAAAGAATTTTTAAAAAGTTTACGAACAGAATTCACTCCACTCTTGAATATGTAGAAAGCTTAAAAAACACACAAGAAGGATTGTGAAGATCTGGCCTAGATTATACTTTTTTGTTTTTTTTTTACTCATTTTTTTAAAATTGTTGATGGTTGTCTCCTCAATGTCACACTGTCACAGTGGAAGGCACCAAATGCTTTACTGTGCTATATTGATAAGATCGATCAGTAGGTTCAGATGCTGCCAGCCTGGACTATTCACTGTCAAGTGCAAGCCAGTCTATACCCAATGGCTAAATTCTAAAGCAGTGGTTCTCAACCTCCCCAATGCTGTGACCCCTTAATATAGTTCCTCGTGTGGTGGTGACTCCCACTATAAAATCATCTGCTGCTACTTCATAACTGTAACTTGGCTACTATTATGGATCATAACGCAAACCCGTGTTTTGAGGGTCTTAGGTGTTTCCGGTGGGAGGGAGGGTCTAACCCGCAGAGGGGTCGTGACCCACAGGTTGAGAATCGCTGCTCCATTGTATGTTACAAACGGATTTCCTGATACAACTTCCTAATTCCACATCACTCTGCGGGATTTTGATGAAACTCTCTAAGAACTGTACCTCAGCCACTTTCAGTAGCTCTGAGAGTTTATGCAAGCACCGCAAGCTGAACGACGCTTCTTTTTATTTAATTAATTTTCAAAATGAGTCGGTACCCTGACTATGCACTTAGGTAGGTATACAGTACAGACAAGATACCTTTTATACATTTACGAAAGAATTTCCAAAAGTTTTTTCCTTTGACTGAAACCTTTTATGCTGTTACTTAAAACCGCTTTCCTTCTAGAATTCTCGAATGCTCCTTAACACGCTTGCGATGCCAGGACTCGTAGGAGGATCCTTAAGAATTCTTATGAATCCGCTGATGGTAGGTGAGGTGCGAGTGTTGACGGAAGGCCTTCTTACACTCCGTGCATTTGTACGGTTTCTCGCCGGAGTGGATTCTCTGGTGCTGGATGAGGGACGAGTGGAGCCGAAAGGCTTTCCCGCACTCCTTACAGTCGTAGGGCTTCTCGCCCGTGTGGATGCTCTGATGCTGCGTAAGTTGCGAGAGGAGCCTGAACGTCTTCTCGCATTCCATACATTTATAGGGCTTCTCTCCAAAATGAATGCTCTGGTGCTGGGTCAGCTGGGAGAACAGCCTGAAAGCCTTCCCGCACTCCTTGCAGTCATAGGGTTTCTCTCCGACGTGAACGCCTTGGTGGGAAATGAGCTCCGAGTACCGGCGGAAGAACTTGCGACACTCCTTGCACTCGTAAGGCTTCTCCCCGGTGTGGATCCTCTGGTGAAGGGTGAGGTGGTAGCCGCGGCTGAAGCTCTTCCCGCACTCGGTGCAGTCGAAGGGCTTCTCGCCGGTGTGGATCCTCTCGTGCAGGGTGAGCTGCTGCCGCACCCGAAACGCCTTGCCGCACTCTTTGCAGCCGTAGGGTTTCTCTCCCGTGTGCAGTTTGTGATGCAGCCGCAGGCCGGTGCTGCACAGGAAAGCCTGGCCGCAGTCCTTACACGCGTGGCGCGAGCTGTCCCCGCTGAGCCTCTGATGGCGAGTGAGGTGCGCCACCTGCCGGAAGCTCTTCCCGCACTCCGTGCACCCGTAGGGCTTCTCGCCGGTGTGGATCCTCTGGTGGAGCGTGAGCTGGCCCCGGACTCGGAAGGCCTTCCCGCACTCTTTGCAGTCGTAGGGCTTCTCGCCCACGTGAGACCTCTGATGCCCTCGGAGGTCCAAGCTGCACGGGAAGATCTTTGCACACTTCTTACACTCGTAGAGTTTGTCCGAGGCGTGGATCCTCTGATGGCGACTGAGGTGGGCGCACTGTCGGAAGGCTTTGCCACAGTCCTTGCATTCGTAGGGCTTCTCGCCGGTGTGGATTCTCTGATGGAAAGTAAGTTGTTGGCGGACTCTGAAAGCCTTCCCACAATCCCCACATTCGTAGGGCTTTTCTCCGTTGGGACTCTTCTGATAGAGACTAACAGATGTGCCTCTTCTGTACGGAGGTCTTTTTCCAGAGGTGGTTTTTATCACGTGTCTGAAATATACCCTATGAGAGTTCTCTTGGTCTTCAAATATTTTACATTCAAAGTCTTTCCCAAAAAGGGAGTCTTCGAGGCCGTGCCTTTTAATTCTTTCCATTATTTCCCACGGAGATAGATTAATTTCGTAAGTATTCTTTTCTGGAAATAACACTTTACTGCCGTATCTGGATTCCAGATCTGAAAGCAAAAGAAGATAGACGCATGAAACCGTCCTAATCTGGATAAAATAAAGAAATAAAAGTAGGGCTGGTGAGATGGCTCAGCGGTTACGAGCATTGACTGCTCTTCCGGAGGTCATAAGTTCAAATCCCAGCAACCACATGGTGGCTCACAACCATCCATAATGGGATCTGATGCCTTCTTCTGGTGTCTGAGGACAGCTACAGTGAGTGTACTCAGAACGCTAAAAAAAAAAAAAAAAAAAGAAAGAAAGAAAGAAAGAAAGAAAGAAAAGTAACGAACACAAGCCTTTTGCAGGTGTGCTGTCAGCACTTGGGAGGCTGAGGTAAAGGCTTCAGTTACAGGCTAGCCTGAGCTACATACAAGACTTTGCTCAAGACGAGGAAGAGAAGACAAAACAAACAGCTGAATGGACGTAAAACCCCAAAATAATCATGTGGTTTTAAGAAAAGCTTGGGAAGGTTAAAGAAAATGCTACGTCTAGAGAACCGATGTGGATCAACAGTGAGAATCCCCACTTTAAATTTAATTTTAAGTCTTACGTATTTCATATGCATTTGTTTGCACGAGTTTATGTGCATCACAAATGTGCAGGTGCCCACGGAGGCCAGATGTCTCGGAACTGGAGTCGCAGGCAGTTGCGAGCTGCCGTTCTGGTTCTGGCGACTGAACTCAGGTCCTCTGCAAATACACTGAGCACTCTTACGTGCTGAGTTGGTTCTCAAGCCTCGCTACTTAAAACAATGGAATGACTTGTCTTTTAACGCAGAATGAAGTCTATTTTCCCGTGAAGACTATGACTTGTATTTACCATAGCCACACGATTATTCCCTTTGCTCCTTATAGCTCACGCCTGCCTCCTCTAAACTACTAGAACAGGGACTGGAGAGGCGGTTCAGTGGCTAAGAGAACTTGCTGTTCTTGCAGAGAACCAGTGTTCTGTTCCCAGTACTCACATGGCACAGAACTGTCAGTATCTCCAGCCCTAGGGGACCTAGCCACGTCGTCTTCTGCCCTCTGCAGGCACAAAGCACACACATGGCGCATAGGTGAACATGCAGTTTTTAAAGCATTTGATACAGTTTCAGGTTGCTGATCCCTTTGACTTTCTTTGAGGCAAGGTTTCATTCATGTTGGCCAGGCTGGCCTTGAGCTCAGCACGTTACCAAAGATGACCTTATGCTTTCCATCTTCTGCCTCCATCTATCTCCCTAGACTAGGGTTACAGGGATGCAGCAGCATGCCTGGTTTAAATAGTTCAGGGGATCAAATCTAGGCTCCATGCATAGCAGGCAAGCTGTTTACACGAAGCTACATCCCCAGCCCAATAGTTTAATAATTTTTAAAAACAAAAAGGTACTTTTAAGCCCGGCGGTGGTGCCGCACCCCTTTAATCTCAGCACTTGGGAGGCAGAGGCAGGCAGATTTCTAAGTTCGAGGCCAGCCTGGTCTACAGAGTGAGTTCCAGGACAGCCAGGGCTACACAGAGAAACCCTGTCTCGAAAAACCAAAAGAAAAAAAAAGGTATTTTTAAAAAGAATTTATATGGGCTGGAGAGATGGCTCAGTGGTTAAGAGCACTGACTGCTCTTTCAGAGGTCCTGAGTTCAAATCCCAGCAACCACATGGTGGCTTACAACCATCCGTAATGAGATTCGATGCCCTCTTCTGGTGTGTCTGAAGACAGCTACAGTGTATTCATATATAATAAATAAATAAATCTTTAAAAAAAAAAAGAATTTATATCATATAGTAACAGTATCTGTAACATGTGCAAACTGGAAAGAATTCTCCTTCAGGAGAAGAACAGCTAAAGTAAATGGCCCCGTAGGAACACAAGGCAGCGCCAAAACGGGACAATCCACAATCCACACCACAGTGAGGATCAGTTTCCCGAGCACACTGATAAGTGAACAAAGCCAAACACACATACACAAGCACACACACTTAACACTCTCACACACACACTCACACATGTGCATGCACACACAGATGTATACCACACACACATGCACACACATGTGTGTGCACACACAGAGACACACAGATGCACACATACACGCAGACACACAGTTGAAAAATATAAATGAAGGGTGAGATGTAGCGGCACACACCTTTAATCCCAGCACTCAGGAGACAGGGACAGGTGGATCTGACAATGCAGGGTCAGCGTAGTCTGTATAGTGAGTTCCATTTGAACCAGGGTTACGTAATGAAACCCAGTCTTTTATTTTTTTTTAAAACAGGATTTGGCATTGTGAACAGTCTCAAGCATAAGACCCCTCTATAGATAAACAGGCTGTGCTATAAGGAGTTAGCGTATTGTACCCAAGTTTGACTATGAGAAGTTACATCCCTGCAGGCAACTGAAGCTATTCACCATTAAGGAGATGCTCTCCCATGAAACTTGAGAAGAATGCTCTAGAATGTAGAGCAAAGATCTTGTGTGTTGTATGGATGCCTCATCTGTCAATTAAAGAGTCTATCTATGGTTTATGGCTTAGGCAGAAAATAGGAGGTGGAACATCCAGGAGGCACAAAGGATTCTGGGATAGAGCGAGACACCAGAGATCCACCCAGGAAGATGAGAGATGGATACCACATGGTATCTGAGCACAGGTAACCAGCCACATGACAGAATATAGGATAAAGTATATGGGTTATCTAAGTTTTTATCTTGTCTGAGACTAGTCCTGAGTGCTGGCCTATGGCTGAGGTATCTGTAATAAATTTTGAGACTGGGTCTTATTTCTGTGAGCATGGGGTTGGGAGGAAGAACTGGACCTGACTTTTATACCAGAGGCACTAGTTACAAAGACTGCCGGGAGGGAACACAGACCAGCGGGGACTCTGCAGCTGTGGGAGAGCGCCCAGGTGGCCTGTGTGAGGCCCCAGAATCCATCCTTAGAGCCACCATATCCAGCACGAATGAACAAAACCGAAACACCTTTATGGAATAAAGTGTACTTTATGTGTCGCGAGGCATCGAGGTTATGTGAACTGGTGATGTTCAAGGGATCCCATCTTTAGCCAACCAGTTTTAGCAAACCAGAGCCTCTTCTGACTGGTTCTATTTTTTCTGGCCACTCTCAAATTCCTCTTGTCCCTAAACCTCATTCTAATCCACCATATCAATAACCTGTCCACTTTTCTTCTACTACTTCATCACTTCAGGTTTGTCTTCTTCCACCTGGACAGTCTCTATGTAACCCTGGCTAGCCTGGAACTTACTTTTAGACCAGGTTGGCCTTGAACTACAGAGACCCACTTGCCTCCGACGTGCTGGGATTGAAGGCACGATCTACCACTCCCAGCCGTTTTGGGATATTAATAAGCCATTCATTCTTTGTTTAATCTCGTGTTATGCTGGTGATCAAGGCCATGGTTAGACAGCTGCTCAACCACTGAGCTACCCCCCAACACAAGCATAGACTTGCTATTTTGTAACTTTTACATGTGTTGTGCCTGCCTCTGTGTGTGTGTGTGTGTGTGTGTGTGTGTGTGTGTGTACCATGAACATACAGTGCCCTTGGAGGCCAGAAAAGAGCATTGTGTTCCCTGGAGCTGGAGTTACAGATGGTTGTGAGCCACTGTGTGGGTGCCGGAAACTGAACCCAGACCCTGTATACTGTCGGTGTTCTTAACAGTGAAGCCACCTTTCTATCCCCATTTATTGTATGACTTTATTACCAAATATAAATCCCATGAAACTGAAGTAGGAGAGCAATAAATCGCTACAGGAAAATTGAAATACAAAGTGGGCATAGCAGCACATGCCAGTAGGCCTAGGACTGGAGGTGATCTGAGGATGGGAGTGTAGGGCAGTTCATGATCAGCCTCGCTACACAGAAAGACCCTTTCTCAGAGGAAAAAAAATCAGGCTGTCGAGATGGGCTGATGTTAAGGGCATTTGGCTATATTCTTCCAGTGGACCAGAGTTCAAGTTCCAACACCTATATGGTGGTCCATAACCACCTGCAACCGCGGTCTCCAGGGGAACTGATGCCCTCTTCTGGCCTCAGTGGGCATCAGACACGCAAGCAATGCACGGACAAACATACTGGCAAAGCAAACCATACAAATAAAATAAAAATAATTTGGATGTCTTTTAAGGGTGCGCTGGGGCAGATTTAAAATACAAAAGATTATCTATGAAGAAATTAGATATAAAACAGGCAGAATTATTATCACCAGATGAGAAAGCTTTCAGTCGTTGAAAGAGAAGGGAAATAATCAGAAACAAACAGCAGACTGAAGTAGAGAGGAAATGTCATTGGTGACTCGTGCTGAAAGATCTAAGTTTTCTTTCCAAGTTTCATGTCTCTTCTCCAGCATCTTAGGTGTGCATATTCCCCACCAGCATCTTAGGGGCGGGCCCTCCAACCTCCCCACCAGCATCTTAGGGGCGGGTCCTCTAACCTCCCATCAGCATCTTAGGGGCGGGTCCTCTAACTTCCCCATTAGTACTTAGGGGCGGGTCCTCCAACTTCCCCATTAGTACTTAGGGGCGGGTCCTCCAACCTCCCTATTAGTACTTAGGGACGGGTCCTCCAACCTCCTCATCACATCTTAGGGGCGGGTCCTCCAACCAGCCGATGTGTAACAGTCACACCCCGCCACCTGTACCTGCTTAACCCTTACTCACCTCGGCTCCACCTTCTCTTCTCAGCCCTCACAATCATCCAGGGCTCCTTGCCTTGTTCCAACAGCGTGATCACGTCTGGCTTAGAAATGGAACATCCTGCTTGAAAGAAACAACAGAATACATTGAAAGACTGGATCAATTTGCCAGGCGGGGTGATACGCGGCTGTGACCCCAGCACTTAGGAGATGAAGGAAGGATCATGATGTCATGGCTACACAGTGAATGCAAGATGAGGTACATGAGACCTCGTGGGAAGGCACACACAGGGTTTTTTTTTTTTACTATTATTATTATAATTATTATTTTGGTTTTTCAAGACAAGGGTTTCCTGTGTAGTCTTGGCTATCTATAGAACTCACTCTATAGACCAGGCTGGACTTGAACTCAGAGACTGGATTGCCTTGGCCTCCTGAGGGTTGGAATTAAAAGCATGTGCCACAATGCCCAGCTGTTTAATTTAGTTTTTAAACTTTTATTATGTATTTAGGTGTTTTGCATGCAGGTGCACCATGTGCATGCAGTTCTTTCAGAGGCCATAAGAGGGCGTAGGACCCCCCACCCCCCTGTACTGGAGTTGCAGTGGTGGTGAGATGCCATGTGGATGCTGGGAACCAAACCTAGGTCTTCTGCAAAAGCAGCCAGCACTCTCAACCTCTGAGACATCGCTCTGGGACCAAAAGAAAGATTCTATTTAATCAAGTCTTCAAAACTAAGATGGCTACCAGGGTAGAAAAACAATAAAATTAGAATTCTTTTAGGATCAAAGGTAGAGCCAGAGTTCTATTTATGTTTACAATCCCATCCTTTTAAAAATTATTTTTATAAAAGCTTTATTTCATAAAACGTATAAGCTATAAGTTTTATGTTATACAATTTTTCCCCTTCCCTTCTCCCTCTTGCTCTGCTCCACTCACTCTGCCCTCTCTGGCCCAAAGGTTTGTTTGTTTGTTTGTTTATTATATGTAAGTCCACTGTAGCTGTCCTCAGACACCCCATAAGAGGGCTTCATATCTCATTACGGATGGTTGTGAGCCACCATGTGGTTGCTGGGATTTGAACTCATGACCTCTGGAAGAGCAGTCAGTGCTCTTAACTGCGAGCCGTCTCACTTATGTAACATATAAGTTATATTTATAAAAGTTATTTTATAAAAGTTAAATTATAACTATGTATTTCAGTTAGGTGGGACCATAAAAGTGTTTCCCAGAGGTGCCCGTTCTAAACCACAAAGAGTAGGTCTTTGAGATTAGAATGTTGTCTCTGGGAACCTGGTTTGATACAGATGAGCTTACCCAGCGACACCAAGTGGCTGTAGTTCTCCAGCATCACGTCTTTGTACAGATTCCTCTCGTAGGCACTCAGGCACTCCCACTCTTCCTGAGAAAAGTCCACGGTCACATCTCTGAACATCACCATCCTCTGCAATGACAAGCCCGCGGACCGTGTGTAAGATAAAATGGGGTAGGATGTATGAGGGGCGGGGACTAAGTCATTGTTCTATTGCTGGGAAGAGACACCACGACCAAGACAAGTTCTATAAAAGAAAGCATCTAATTGGGGCCTTCCTTATAGTTTTAGAAGGTTAGTCCGTTATCACATGTTGGGAAGCAGAGAGGCACGCCTCTGGAGCAGTAGCTGAGAGCTTTACAGCCTGACTCACAGGCAGCAGGCAGAGACAGACAGACACACAGACAGAGAGGGAGGGGGAGGGGGAGAGGGAGGGGATAGGATAGGGTAGGGGGAGAAGAGGGGAGGGGGAGGGGAAACAGGAGGAGGAGGGGAGGGAGAGGAGGAGGGGAGGGGGAGGAGAGGAGGAGGGGAGGGGGAGGGGAGGGGGCGGGGGAAAGGGCGGCTGGGTCTGGTGTGGGCTTTTGAGGCCTTAAAGCACACTCCTGGTGACAAGCTTCCTCCAACAAGGCCACACCTCCTAGTCCTTCCCAAATAGTTCCACTAACTAGGGACCAGATATTCAAATATACGAGCCTATCCCTGCCATAGGGGACTAGAAGATGGCTTAGCAGTCAAGAGTGCTTGCTGCTTCTGCAGAAGACCAGAGTCCCCAGAACCTGTATTGAGCACTCATAACACGTCTGCGTGCTCGCACTCAGACACGTCAGTAAAAATGAGTAACATTTTTGAGCGTGTTTTAAAGGGGCCGCAGAGACAGCCGAGAGGCCAGGACCGCTTGCTGCTCTTGAGGAGGATCCAGAGTCGGTTCCCAGAGTGCACACGGTGGCTTAAAACCACCTGTACCTCTGGTGCCGAGAGATCCAACATCCTCTTGTGACACTGAGAGCTCCTGCATGCGTGTGGTGTGCATACATACAGCCATGCACACTCACATACAATAAAATTAAATAAATATATTGAAAATAATACAAATGCTGCATGGTGGTGGCACACACCATTAATCTCCACGCTTGGGAGGCAGAGGCAGGCGGATTTCTGAGTTCGAGGCCAGCCTGGTCTACAGAGTGAGTTCCAGGACAGCCAGGGCTACACAGAGAAACCCTGTCTCGAAAAACCAAAAAAAAAAAAAGTTGAGACAGGCATGCGCACATGCAAAACATAAATCAATCAACAGTATGATATATATATATATATATATATATATATATATATGTATCACTTTTATATATATTAAAAGTCAGAATATCAAGTACAGAGAAACCAACTTACATCAGCCATGATTCTAGAATTGCAAGAACTGGCTCGTCCTTCCTCAAGGATCATATCCTGGAGAAGCCGTTCACAGAGGCTATAGCTGGAGAAAGAGAGTGAAGCCATGAGATCAGAACTGTCCCAGAGCTTCCAAAACTGAAAAGTCAACGTATTATCCCATTTCTCCCTTGTACACAGCCTGCCTTCCAACACACAAACTGTGAAAGGTGAGAGACAGCTTATACAGAAATAAAACCCTTCTCAAGGGAAATCAGCTGCAAGAATGTGACCTCAGTATGCACCAGGATCACCTAGAAGACTGGTTAAAACAGATTTGGGTGGGATGGGTGGTCCGATGGCACAGTGGTTGGGAGCACTGGTTGCCGTTCCAGGGGACCTGAGTTCAGTAGTCCGCACCCAGATGGTCCGTACAAGCATCTGTTACTTCAGGTCCAGGTGACACAACACAATATTGTTGCCTACTCCGGACATGTACATAAAAATAAATTTTAAAAGACAGAATGCGCTTTCCCGGCCTTTGTTGGTTTGTTTTTGCAGTCCTTTGAAGCCGGTAGTCCAGCCTGTGCTCACTAAGCGCTCTGTCATAGAGCTCCAGCCCCAGCCCGTGCATTTGTAACCTCCATCCCCAAGAGATGCATCGGTTGCTGCTGCTGATCCAATGCCACACAAGAATGCAGGCTGGCAAGATGTTAAGAGAACGAGCTGCTCTTCTAGAGGGCCTGAGTTCAATTCCTAGCAACCGTATGGTGACTCACAACCATCTGTACTGGGATCTGACGCCCTCTTCTGGCCTGCAGAACGAGCACTCCTATACATAAAATAAATAAATCTTAAACAAACATACCAAACGACAAGTGCAGGGGCCTGAGGAAGTGCCTCAGTAGTCCCTCCAGCCACCACCTCAAACATTTAAATAACATGCTAGTCCTTAACAAATCACACGTCAGCCTTTAGCAGAGATATTTCCGTATTAGAGAATCCTAAGAAAAACGGGACAACTTAAATGTATAGCATGTGGGTACAACATAACCGTAGAACCGCAGGAGCTGCGCGCTAAGAGAGAAATCCTGATTAAGTCTCTGCCCACTAAAAATGCAGGGAAATTCTCAGACCCAAAGCAATGAATAGTTCATTCTTTTCTGTTGTTGTTGTTTTCTCTTTAGACAAGGTCTCAATGTAGCTCAGGCTGGCCTTGAATGCCTGACCCTCCTGGAGTGGCAGTGATATCACCACTCACAGCTGAATAAAACATTTTCACAGATGGCTTTCAAAAGGAAGATAATTCAATAAACTCACGTTCTAAAAAAAAAAAATAAGCATATTTCACAGCAATACAGAAGCACTAGAAACTCACACATAATCTCGCTTTTAAACAGAAGTAGTGGCTACTGGCTTCTAGGGCCTCTTCTGAAGACTGGCAGAGCGAATTCAAGACACTCCAGGGCTTGCTTCTTTCTTTCTTTCTTTCTTTCTTTCTTTCTTTCTTTCTTTCTTTCTTTCTTTCTTTCTTTCTTTCTTTCTTTCCTTCTTTCTTTTCTTTCAGACGGGGTTGCAACCCAACGTTAAGCAGCAGAGGATGACCTTGAGCGTCTTCTCCTCCTGCCTCTACCTCCCAAAACCTGAGACGACAGGTATGTGCCACCACGCCCTCTGGCTTCACTCCTACAGCTTTTCTGAACTTGATCAGAATCCCCTTCTTAGCTTCAGGGGTCCCGGCTGACCGCACCCGTATGCAACCCAGCAATCGAGATAGACTGCGGCAGCTCACAGTCACCCGTGCCCGAGTTTGCTGCTTCGGCTACTCTGCTCCTCCAGGTTACCACTCCGGGGGCTGCCAAGCCTCTAGGTCCGAGGTGTCCCCTGGTTCTCAGTTTCCCAGGCCTGCCGGGAATCTAAGGTTCTGCACAGGATCTCCACCGTGCAGATCGCGCCCCCGCCTTCCCTCTCGGTCCTGGTCCACAGCCAGGCCCGGGTTTAGGTGCAGCGCGTCAGCACGGCAGCCGTACCCACGACCTGAGTTCCAGGGGTCCTCAGAACGGCTTCCTGGAGAAGAGCTTAGGCCGCACGAGTCCGGGGGCCACCCAGATGACAGCTATCCCAGGAGGGTGGGTCGCGAGCACGGTCAGCGCTGCCGCGGTGGCACCGAAATGCTACGGACGGTGATACTGAAGGCTCTGCGACATCAGATCTCAAACCGGAGACTGAATGTCACTAGCTTCTTTGACTAGGTTCTGGGCTTCCAGCCATGCCGAGGCTGCGAGCCTGGTCCCCAGCTCCTGGACTGGGGCAAGGGGTTGGGGGTGGGGGTTGTGTGTGGCTCTCTGCAGCAGTGCGCATGCGCACAGGGGAATCGCGGAGAGGAGGGAGGTTTTGGTGGCATCCTGTGCAGGCCAGGACACAGGGAGTTTGACTCCAGGATCCTGGGTTGGTCCGAAATGACGAAGTCTTTGGGCCTAGAGCAGTAACTCTGGCGTTGAACAAACTGAAACCCTGATGCTTTGAGGTCCAGCATGGAGCGCTTGCTGAATCAAGGCCCTTACGCTAGTTTGGGCATCTACAGTTTGTTTTTTAAGCAGTGGTTTCCCTAAATGACCCCCTGGATTTCTCTGTGGACACCAGGCTGTCCCTGAACTTGAAGTGATTCTCCAGCAAGCTTCCCAAATGTGGGCATTAAAGTCACATACCACCACACTCCTGCCCTCTGAGCTATTTTTACTAGTTTTTCTTTCTTTTTTAAATATCTATTTGAGACAAATGTAGCCCTTGCTAGCCTAGAATCTGTGTAGACCAGGCTAGCCACGAATTCTGAGATCCACGATCCACTTGGCTTTGTTTCCGTGGTGCTGGAATTAAACGTGTGCACCACCACTTTGGCATGGTTTTCTTTTAATGAAGAAGGCTTGGGGCTTAATATAGGATTCAGAATGAGGGTTAGGCGAGGGGCCCAGAATGATGGCACCTGAAACCATAGGTATGGGCTTCTCTGATAGAATAAATTGACTGGTTTTCATGGTATTCTTATGTTCTTGCGGTGGTTTCAATAGGTATGGCCCCACAGATTCATGTGTTTGGATGCTTGGCTGTAGGTCTAGCGATATTATGTGTGGCCTTACTAGGGGAAGAGTATCACCGTAGAGGCGGGGCTTTGAGGTCATGTATGCTCAGGGTACACAATGTCCGCCTGCATGCCTCCACCTTTCCCGAATCATGATGATGGGCTGAACCTCTACAAGGCAGCCCCACCCCCATTAAATATTTTCCTTTATAAAAGTTGCCCTGGTCATGGTGTCCCTTCACAGCAATAAAACCCTAAGAGAGTTCTTACATGAGGAAAAGTTTTCCTTTAATCCGTTTCTTCAGCCTCAATAGCACCTATGGGTAGATTCCCAGTGAGTTATAATTAATTTCATTCTGATGTCTATTTTTTTTCCCCGAGATTTGGCTTGTGGGAGCCCCTTTAGCCCAACACTGGTGGGCTCTGTTTATTTAAACGACAGCCCGGGCTGGCCTGGAACTTGTGATTCCTGATTCAACTTCTCCCTTCGGCTGGAATTATAGGTATTAGACACCACACTGGGTTATTGGATGGTTTGTCTTCTCATAGGTTTCCAACTGACTTTTTAATTATTACTATTAAATATTATAGCATTCAATACTTAAGGGGGCTGGAGAGGTGGCTCAGTGCTTACGAACTGACTGCTCTTCCAGAGGACCCAGGTTCAGTTCTCAGCACCAATATGGTGGCTCGCAATTGTCTGTAACTCCAATACCAGGAGAGACAATGCCTTCCTTTGGTTTCTATGGGCATTAGGCAACGCATGCAAGCAAAATACTCATATACATAAAATATAGCCAAAAAACTACAGAGCAAGGCCCTGTTTCAAACACAAGAAAGAGCTAAAGCAACGGCTCAGTGCTCAGGTGCATGCTTTTGCAGAGGACCCCAGTCCAGTGCCTGGTTCCTAACACCCCGTGCCTGACTGACAACCATCTAAACACCAGCTCCAGGCAAGCTGATGCCTCTGGCGCCACATAAATCTTTGAAAGCTCCTGCCCTCACAGGCAAAGACCACACACACACACACACACACACACACACACACACACACACACATAATGAAACTGCAGAGTCTCACTGCATGGCCCTGGCTGGCCTGGAACTCTGTATAGACCAGGCAAGCTCCCCTTAGACTCACAGACATCCACCTGCCTCTGCATCCTGAGTTCTGGGATAAAGGGCGTGTACACCATGCCCAGCTAAAGTGAAATCTTAAGAAGAGGAGTGGGGGCGGGGAGAAGAGCAGGGAGCAGATGGAGAAGAAAGGAAGCAATAATCAGCCAGACAGAGGTCCAACTGGGTGTGGTGGGATACACCTGGAATTCCAGCACATGAGAGGCTGACAGGAGGATCGGGAGGTGAAGACCAGCCTAGGCTAAATAGCAAGACTTACCTCAAAATGAAAACAAATTTTAAAGGGAAGGGGATACGTTCAAAAAATAATGGAACCCAGCTTATTGTGCTTACAATGATTGGATCAGTGTTCAGACAACCAAGCCACCATCTGTGAAGAGTAACAGGGTGTCCTTCGCCTAATTGACATAGCCAAAGCTACTCCGAGTCCTGTATTTACATTTTAAATCATAAACCATGAGAGGGAAGCATGGGATTTCGGAGAATATATTGGAATGGGGGAAAGAATGACTTACAAGCATTAACACCAAGACAGATGCCTTCCAAACATGAACTGCTTAAGTTGACAAATCCGAACAAGGCGTGAAGAAAGGAAACTGCTATAACCACAGTCTAGAGGTTTGTAAGTCTTACATAGCCATCAAGAAAACAAATCATCCAACAGAAAATGGTACTGAGACACTCCACAGAAAATGCAATATTTGAAAATAGGGAAATATGGCATTAGATGCAAGTTACATGTAGCAGAAAAATGCAAACTAGAACTGTCATAACACTTTTCACTTAACAGACTAGTGAAATCAAAGCTTTAACAAACAGAAAAGTGTTAGCAAAGGTATCGGACGGGGCACTACACAACCTCGGAGAAAGAACCAAAAGCCTTTTGTAAATGTACATATACTCGCATGTAGCAAATCCAACCCAGGGACGGACCTTTAACATATATTTGCATATAGAGGCTAATATGTACAAAGATCACCACCTCATTCTCTATTTCAAGGGTGAAAGGGGCCTCTACTTACCTCAGAGACCGATTCTCAATTAACTGTGGTTAAGGCCAAAAAACCCCACCTGACAGACAAGGACTGTGAACGAGGACGTTAGTCTTTGTTGTCTAACATACTCCACTTCCTACGTTTAGAAGCACGTAAGGGCTCATAAAGGACTCATTCTTCAATAACGTGTTGGATTCAGTTTCAAGGCTGAGGAGGGGTCTCATTATGTAGCCAAGGCTGCCAGGGCCTACACTCCTGAGCGCTGGAATACAGGCCTTAGGCACTATGCCTTATGATCTCCACGGCCCCCACTTTTCTTATTTTCCCCCAGACAGAGTTTCACTATGTAGACCAGGCTGGCCTAGAACTCAGAGATCATCTAGCCTCTGCCTCCTAAAGGCTAGTATTAAAGATATGAGAGACATCACTGGCAATGTCAGAAATTCCTTCTTAATGGCTAAAGATTATCCCAGAATATGTCAATTGTTTAAAAACGTGTATCACTTTTGCGTCCCACTAAATTCCTAACATATTACGTTTGCGTCCACCTTTTAAAATTCTCCGTCATCTTGAGACGATGAATTCCTCACTGACTTGTTTCCTGGAAACCCTGCCGGATACACACGACTGGATCTCATAAACTACCACTTCCCCCTCAGCTCCATTAAGTTTTCTTGGTTTTGAGGTTATTTAAAATTATATTTCCAAATATTCGGAGCGACGTTTCTAGGCCTATGTAAGAACGCATTATATAAAATTTGAACTGACTAATGTTTATTCAGACTTGAAGTTCAAGACACAGAAAATTTCTTCTTATGTAAAAGAATATTCTGGGGGGCTGGAGAGATGGCTCGGTGGTTAAGAGCACTGACTGCTCTTCTAAAGGTCCTGAGTTCAATTCCCAGCAACCACATGGTGGCTCACAACCATCTGTAATGGGATCTGATGCCCTCTTCTGGTATGTCTGAAGACAGCTACAGTGTACTTAGTCATATATAAAATAAATAAAATCTTTAAAAAAAAAAAAAAAAAAAAAAAAAAGAATATTCTGTAAATTTCTATCCTCAGTTTCAATCCTTCCGAAACATTGTCTGTCTGTCTTTCTCCATTTTCGAGATGGGGCTGGTCTATGGACCTCAGGCTAATCTGAAGCAACAGCAATCTTATCTTTGCGTTGCTAGGGATATGATTCCAGATATGTCCCACACCAACCTAGTATTCCATTTAAATAAGGAAAAACTTCCTTTCAACTATAGCAATCAGCCTATTCAAAAGGTTACTGGGGTTACTGATACAATTTATGTCCACCATTCTACCACACAATTTCCCACTGGCAAATTCCATGTTCCAAATGCCTTTACTTGCTGCCTGACTTTGAAATGTTTGCTTTTTATAATACCTTCTCTAGAGATTCCAACGTACGATCAGTTCTTATGTGATCCAGTTTAGGCTTGAACAGTCCTAACCTTCCTGCACCTGCCTTCTCAGGGCTGGGATTACATGAGTGTACCAATATACTCTTGAGATTTATAACTTTTTGTCTCAATAAAAAGGTTATTTAACCTAAAAAAAAAAGGATAGATTGGCAAATGTGTTGTTGTTTCAAATTTCCATGGTATCTTGATATACTAGCACTTGGGAAGCTAAGGATTATGAGGTTGAGGCTAGCCTGGGCCACGTGAGGCCCTATCTCAAATAAACACTACCATACGTTTCACATGTAGTAACACAAAACATTTTTCTATTTTTTTGAAGAGTACCCTGATTTTTTGAAACTTTCTATAGGTTTATGAGCCAATCAAAAAAATTTATATACATTCACACAAAATTTACACTAAACATTTCAAATTTATCTGCTGTAATAGTGAATACATTATTTCATAGCAGTAAAACTTTCTAGCTGTACCTGGTGACAGAGGTCTACAGTCCCAGCTATTTAAGAGGCTAATATAAGGGGTCATGAGTTCAAGGCCTGCCTAGGCAATTTAGCCAAGACTTTGTCTCAAAATAAAGGGGGCTGGGAATAAAAGGCTCAGGGCTCCGAGTTCAAGCCAGTATGGTGGCACACACTTCTAATCCCAGCACTCAGTAGGTTGAAACAGGAGGATTGCCACAAGTTTAAGAAAGGCCCTGTCTTGAAATAAAACCCACCAAAGCCAACTGAACCTATTTCTGCCTGAGAATGTCCTACTTCCCATTAGCACTGACTGTTGCGTTTGTGTCTTTCAAATGTCTGCTTAGGCCCTGGAAAATCTAGTCTATGTATCAGATGGTTTGGAAAAAGCTTTTAAAGTATGGTTATCCATTTTATTGATGTGTTTTAGAAACTTCTTTAAGCTCATTGATTATTGTATATAATATGTATTTCTGCTGTCAACTCTAAGATTTATTGCTTGGGGGGGGTGTAACTTGATAGCATCTATTCAAAGGAACCACATCCGGTTTCAGTACATAGAGCGGTGGTTCTTCCACACGGAAACAAGCTGTATTTTCAGACTGCGTTTTTCACGTGACCAAGAGTCACGTGGTGATGGTGATAGATTAAGAGTTTGTTCCAATTCTTGTCCTGTGCAGATCCGACTGTCCTTCCTGAGTGGGGAACCGCGGTACCTCTGCTGTGGCAGGCACCCTGATCAGCGAGTCCGTGCGGCCTTGCTAGGGTCGACTTCTGACTCAACGGAAGCCGCAGTGGAAATCTGCTCCCGTTCTGTTCCAACCGCGATCGCTCCAGAACTCCTTTCAAAGGTTTTGGCATGGGACAAGCACTGACAGGAGATGTCATGAACGAAATGGATATGAATGTTCCAGAAAGAGTAACAAAGACCGTCACGAAGGGGACTCCGAATCCTTCCTGATGGCTGTTCCTGCCTACCGTCCCCTGTTTACTGACTCATCCCGTCCTCAGAATAACCACACTACCAGCTAAAAGGCAGCAATCTGCAGCGGGGCTGAGGTCAGCTTAATAAACTACAGGCAGCAATCGATGGATGTGAGTTTTTACGCTAACAGCGTGCAGCCACTGTTCTCTATGTGGTACTGTCTATAGCTATAACTAATTAGAAACCTTTTACTGGTAATAGGATTAGTACTTCTATTCATAATTTAATTTTTATTTTTCTTATGTGAATTAATACTCAATAAACAGTAGGTTATAAGGCAAAAAAAAAAAGTAGTCATCAGATGGCTCTCTCTGACAAACTCTTATTCCATACTGGATAGCTGAAAATAATGAGGGTTTCTTATTCTGATTGTAGTATAAATTACACAACGGGAAGCACAGTATGAGAGGTTGGTTGTTCCACACGCCTCACTTCCAGAAGGCTCTTCTCAGCAGTCTGCATAGCTGAGGGACACACTGAGGTGGTTCCCACACTTCTGATTCATTCATGTTTAGCTGTATGTCTGTGAAGATGCTAATAAAGACTTCTCAGTCAACAGAGGGCAGGACTCAAATGCACAGGATCTCTCCCACTGCGTGTACTCTCTGGTGCTTCTTTACCTGTAAGAGCCGAGTGAAGGCCTGCCCACACTCCTTACACTCGTAGGGCTTCTCACCGGTGTGGATTCTCTGATGTTGCGTCAGGTGGGACCTCTGCCTGAAGGCCTTGCTGCACTGCTGGCACTGGAAGGGTTTCTCACCAGTGTGAATCCTCTGGTGCAGAATGAGGGTTTTACAATCAATAAAAGCCTTCCCACATTCTTTACACTCATAAGGCCTCTCTCCGGTGTGAATCCTCTGGTGTCTGTTAAAGTACGAAGGGCACGCGAAGGCCTTCCCACATTCCTTACACTCGTAAGGCTTTTCGCCAGTGTGAACTCTCTGGTGTTGGATGAGATGGGCTTTCTGCCTGAAGGCCTTCATACACTCCTGGCACTCATAGGGCTTCTCGTTTGTGTGAGTTCTATAGTGCTTCATGAACGCCGAATGACACAGGAAGGCCTTTTCGCAGTAGTTACACTCATACGGTTTTTCACCGGTGTGAATCTTTTGGTGATCGTTCAGGTTGGAAGCCCAAGTGAAGGTCTTTCCACATAAGTTACACTCGTAGGGTTTCTCACCGCTGTGGATCCTTTGATGTCTGGTGAGGTTGGCACTCTTGTTAAAGGCCTTCTGACATTTGTGGCATTCGTACGGCTTCTCGTTGGTGTGGGTTCTCTGATGCTGGAAAAATGTGGAGAAGTAGAGGAATGCCTTCCCACAGTGCTTGCACTCGTAGGGCTTCTCGTCCGTGTGGACCCGCTGGTGCTGGACCAGCAGGGAGCAGTTGGTGAAGGCTTTCCCGCACTCCTTACACTCGCACGGTTTCTCCCCCGTGTGAAAGCGGTTGTGTTGAACAAGGTAAGCATGCTTCTCAAAGATCTTACCACAGATCTCACACTGGTAGGGCTTCTTATTGATCTGATACGGGGTGAGCTGGAAGTCATAGGCAAATCCTCTGCTGCACCCCTTCAGTTCATCACATCTGTCCCCAGCAAAATCCTGCTGGCACTTCATCTCGTCGGTGTAATAGATAAAGGCGTTCTCGTACATTTCGTTAAGTTTGTCACTGGTAGGAATCCGTACCTGTGGAGTGATGGTTTCACCCGCTTCCTGCTCAGCGTGTTTCCTTTCAGAATGAGTCACCTCACTCGGAGCAATGGGTGCAGGCTGAATGAATTTGGTTGACATCCTTTCCAATGGGCCTGTCCCTCCCTGTACATATTCCTCTGTAGATTCCGGCTTTGTCTCAAGGGGTCCCTTGCATTTCCAATCATCTCCAAAACAAGATTCCTCAAGGCAAGAAGTACCCACTCTTTCTACTATTTTCCATTTTAATGATTCCTTTCCAAAGATGCCATTCTTTAGAGACAAATTCTTAGCTTCATTTACAGACAGCAGATCTGAAAGAAAGTGCGTACGTTAGCGCTGGAAGACAGGAAGCATTAGAAACCAACAAAATGATGTGTTTTCTCGTTTTTTAATACGTCTCTGTGTTCCGCCTCCATGTTTGTCTGTGCACCACGTGCGACCACCCTTACTCACCTGGGTACCATCCTGCCTGCTCCGCTAGCCAGGGTTCCTTGCCTTGCTCCAACAGCGAAATCACTGACGGCTTAGAAATGGCAAGTCCTACTCAAAGAAAGAGACCGGTAAAAACAAACACAGAGACGAGCCGCAACATCAAAAGGCGTCCATTACAGAACTGACTGAACCTAAAATAAGCTGCAGACCCTCAGAAGGACTGGGATTTTAAATAACAAACAAACAAACAAACAAACAAACAAGTGTGCGAGCCACCATTTCGCAAGCACCTTAGTAAATAATTGTTGCTTGCAGGAATCACTGATGAAAATTAAAAGAAGCAGGAAAGTATCTGAGAAAGTTTGTGTCCGAGTGTATCAAAGGACTTTAAAGGCAGCTATTTACCGGCTCTGAAGCAGTGGCTATTGGGATGGAGAGAGGCTGCATGTGATAGACTTCTCTCCCACAGGCTTTCCCTCCCAGCCCTTGCAGAGAGGCACAGACGAACTTACCCAGGGATACAAAGTTGCTGTAGTTCTCCAGCATCACGTCTCTGTATAGCGACCTCTGAGTGGGGCCCAGGCACTCCCACTCCTCCTTACAGAACTCCACAGCCACATCCCTGAACACCACCAACTCCTGAAATGAAAGTAGGGGGGTAACACACACAACAGGGAAGAAAGTAACTTCAGGGAAATGTGAAGACTCCTGCTTCATGGGGTGCCAGGTCAAGGCACATCCCCTTCCCAGCACCAGGGAAACTGAACATTTCAAAGAAGCAGCCTCTGGCCTCTGAGAAATCATTTCTGAGCCCTCAAATGTCCAGCCTGATAAGGTAGGCTTTTTGAGGAGACTTTTTTTTGTTGTTTTTTACTGTATGCCTGAGACCTTGGCCTGTCCCGGCTTGACTTCTAGGAGGCCAAAGAGTAACACAGATGAGATGTGGCCATAGCAGGTACTCCCAACAAACACTCCAAAGGAGAAGGGACTGGCCAGGTGTCCCTTGCTGGCCACTCTCCCGAGAGGCTGTCTCACATCACAGCTGGGAGAATTAAGCCTGTCTCTAGGCTACCACCAGGATGACACAGATGCAGAGTCTAGACGTTGCCCCTGGCAAGTTTCTCTCTCCAAATTTGCCTTCTTTGGGAATAATTTCATAAGTTTGAGGATAACTGCCTCTCTCCATCCTGCAAATTCAACCAAAGAATCGATCCAGTCTAGCCCGACACGCGGTCATTCTCATGACTCTAGCACTGGGGAGGACAGCTAAGAAATCCAGGGCTAGCCTGGGGTCTTAGTTAGGGTTAATATTACTGCCGAGTAATTTATCTTGTGCACCTGGCCCTTTAAAGGATTCCCAGTTGCTAGTCAACTGGCCCTTTAAGAATTCTTAGTTGTTAAAACTGCTTGACCTTATGACTTTCAGTGTTGGTTATCTCTTGGACAGAATAGGTTATAAAAAAGCCAGCTGAGGCAGAGAAAAAGGAACGGGGCCAGCAGAGTGAGAAGAGAAGACGGTTGGTGAAGACGTTAAGAGACGGAGCTGAGCAGATAGGCTAGAACAGTCGTCACAGTTTGGAGCTGCTCGGATTGGGAGAACGGGGAGAAGGGACTGTTGACGCACACTGGTGGGGACTGAGAGGAACGGCTGGGAGGAACATCTGAAGGGGCTGAGCTGGAAACTGCGAGGAGAGCTGGCAGGGAGCTAAGAGACTTGGTTAGGGTTCTAAAACAGCTAGCCATTTTACATGTTACTATGATGGAACCTCAAAACCAAAGCAGCTTGGGGAGGAGGTGTGCAGTCCCCTGACGCTTCTAGATCACTGTCCATCACTGAGGGAAGCCAGGAGGGGCGATGCTTATGTTTACTGGCTTGCTTCCCATGGCCTGCCCAGCCTGCTTTCTTACAGAACCCAGGACCAGCAGCCCAGGGATGCCCTCCCCCACAGTAGGCTGGGCCCTCCCCCACTGAGCACTAATTTAAAGAATGTCCTGCTGCTTCATCTACGCTCTAATCTTATGGTGGCATTTCCTCAGCTGAGGCTCCTCCCTTTCTGATGAGTGTAGCTTGTGCCAAATTGGCATAAACACCAACCAGGACGCCTGGGCTACCAGGGACTCTCGGTCTCAAGTTGGAAATCAGGAACAAACTCAAACCCAGAGACGAGGTACTGCAGTCGAGGGTACAAGGCACCCAGCGCTGCACCCGGCCCTTAGAGAGGCTCAGCGCTAGAGAATGCAACTGGCTCAATAGAACTGCAGCAGCTGCCTGGAAGGAAGAAGCCACCATCTGTTGCTGAGGCCACCTGTTCCGAACTTGACACGCTCAAGTGGAAGCGCTTTGGTTTTGACTAAAATAGTAAGCAGGGAGACATAATACAGCAGTGGGCATACCCCTGGGGAGGAGGGTACAGAGGCACTCAGAAAGTAAAAGCACTGTCCCTGGAGGAGAACTCAAAGCAAGACGAGCCACTGATCCCGTTCCCTCTGGCATGTGTCCCCTCTGCCCTGGGTTACTACCACACCTCTGCAAGCAGACATGGGGATCAGTCAAGGCAACGCCAGCGATGCGTGCCGAGGCTACCTCCTGCCTTCCAAAACTGGAGCACAAAAGTCAGTGTGGGTGTCACACTGTCAAGGTTGTGGTGTCTCTAGTCCCAGCAACCATGTCAGGTGGCTCACAACCGCCTGTAACTCCAGCTCCAGAGGACAGAACCCCTCTGGTCTCTCCAGGCGCCTTCTCTCACACGTGTGTACCCACCTACTGACTCGCACACACGTAATTGAAAATAATAAAATTAAATCTTTAAAAAAAAAAAAGCACTTTTGGTTTTCTAGGTGGAAAGTTATTAAGCAGAACAGAAAAAAAGACAATGTGTTTCTGACAGGAATAATGAAAAAATAAATTATATGTCTGCTCTCTGTTCTCGGGGGAGGGTGACCAAAGGATGTGCGGCTAACAAATGAGGTGAGACCAGAAAGCTCATGAGTTCAAGCTCAGCCTTGGCTCTAAACCAAGTTCAAAGCCAGCCTGCGTTACGAGAGCCCGGCTAACGTAATCTAATAAGTAGCCAGGCTTTAGCCTTCGGGGAGGCAGAAGCAGGCAGAGCTCGATGGATTTAAGGCCAGAGCAATCTACACAGCAAATTGCGGACGACATAATAATAATAAGACTGTACAATTAAATGATGAAGCGAAATAAAAAATGTAAAGATCCGAGAATTTAAAAGCAAAAGCATTTTTCTTTATTTGCAAATATCTAACAACATGTTCCTTTGTGGAATTTTTTTTTTTTTGAGACATGGTCTCATGTAGTGAGGTTGGGACTTAGGTGGCGGGGGGGATGGGAGGGACAGCAAGCAGCTTTAGAATTCAGGGAGGATGGCCTAATGGTTAGCGTAAACTTGCTGGTGTGGCTCATGCTGTTACTGAGCAGCCTATGAGCGCTCTGCGCCCTCCCACCCCCACGTCCCACCCCCCACCCCCTGCGCGTGCGCAGAGCCACTGGCTCTCACAATAACAGTGCTTGATCTTTCCTGAGCACTGCTGCTGGAGCATACTAGTGGTTCACCCACCTCCCTTAGTGAGGCCTAGAGAGAAGCAGACTGCTAGTAATGACCACCACTCTTAGAAAGGATCTGGAGATGCATATCGTTAGTAAAGCTAGGTTACGATGTTTGTGTTAGTGGCTTTGATGCAGAAAATCTTGGGCAAGAATTTAAAGTTCAGGAAGGTTCATTTTTGAAAGCTGAGCGAGGGACTCCTTGAGGACAGGGAAGAGCATCGAAGGCAGCCCGGTCGCTGCTGACACGCCTTCCTGATAAAGCCGGGCTGGTGACTAAGGGCGAGGGTTAATTTCCTGTAGACATTTATGCCCTTGGCTTTCTAATTCTATGAAAAATTTTAATGAGCAGGCGTGCACCCTGAGGGCCTAGAAAAAATTAAAGTAAAATGACTGTTTTTTATATAAAAGTTTAGATTTGTGGTTAAGATTTTGACCAAGCCCGCTCAGTCAGTCCACAGGTTCCCCAGCGCAGGAGTGAGGATTAACAGAAAAAGACAATCAGACAGTATTGCAGCGTGACCCAGCCAGTTCTGAGGCTGAAGACTGAGTGGATTTATTTTTTCCCAATTTGCTTTTAAACCAGTTTAACTACATGCGAGTACTTAGGTCAGTTCTAGGTTGAGGAAATAGCAATACAATAAATGCAAATAGTCAAGGAACAAGCAAGGCAATAAGCAAAGTCCAGTGGCCACTGTCACGATCACTGTTTCTAAGGGCTCATCAGGATGACAAAAATATGAGCCTACTTCCCTGTCCTAGCCCACAGTCATATTCATGCCCGAGGCCTGCTTCTTTGTTCTAGCCTAAGACTTCCATTCCTGACTGAAATTACTTCTCTGCTTTGGCCTAAAATTAGATTCCTGCCTGAACTTACTTCCTTGTCATGGCCCAAAGTCAGATTCCTGCCTGAAGCCCATTTCCTTGTCCTTGGCCAATGTCAGATTTCTGCCAAGCAGCCCCAAAAGCTCTCCACAAGATTTTATATAAGATTACTTTTTGAGATAAATAATAAAACGATGGCTCCAAAAATAAATAATAAAAATGACCAAGTCTTTCTTTGTAACCACAAAATACAGCTTGCTGGTAAGAAAACTGGCTGAGAAGAATACCTAGCTTGCTTACACTTTGTTCATCTGTAACAAGTTGCTTAGACATGAATCTGTGTGGGTCCTTGGGGATCAGCTGGTTTTCACCTGTAATCCATAAAATGTTTAACCATGTAAAAGTATTGGGGAACATGCTGGCTTTTTATCTGTACTCATTGTAATCATTCACTTGAAGAAAAATAGAATGTAGCCATATTGTAACTTATACATTGCTTAAAAGATTTTGCTGGGGGATATAAGGTTAGAAGAGGAATTATTGAGGCCTGTCCCCCTAGCATAGCTACAGCCATGTTGTCCCGTACCCACCAGTTATTTCATATTGTTGCTGTAATTTGCCTGCCAGTCACTGACATAGAAAAATAACTTGACTCAGAGCAGGGCCATGCTGATCACATACTCTGTTAAGCTCTGTGGGTTATGAGGTTTGTTAATCTTGAGAAATTCCACAACTATAGGCTTCATGTAGGACCCATCAAATTAAAGGTCAGTATGAACTGTTGTGTCTAAAATGGCCTGAGTCAGGGCTGACCACTGGGCAGCACTTCCAGCACCCACCTATGAGCTCATTGTGGTTTTTGCAGTTTTAGCCTTTATAAGCTGACACAGAAAAGAGTTTGGGGGTCATAGCCTCAGCGCCCAAATTCTGAGCAACGGCCCCGATCAGTCACTCTTAGGATATGCGTTCAATAAACCATCCTTGTCTGACTGAGATCAGTATTTGTGCAGTTTATGGGGTGACTCCTGGACCCCATCAGAAATAAAGTAAGAGAACTTGTCTGAACTATCAAAAGATTCCTGTGTCCATGTATTCCGCCAACTTCACCCCTCCTCCTCCTCAGACCCTGACGTGCTGAATGAAGCTGGTCTTCGACACGTTACACATATCAATTTAGTCAAAACTAACCTAAAGGAAATGCTATTATTTCCTCCACTTTCAGATAATGAAACGGAGGAACAAGAAAATGAAGTAAATTCATGAACACGTAGGTACTGGGGCTCCTTACACGGGCTGGAAGATGCTTGAATTAAAAAAAAGAAAACACAGTGGCTGGAGAGAGAGATGGCTCAGTGGTTAAGAGCACTAGTTGCTCTTCCAAAGGTCCTGAGTTCAATTCCCAGCACATACATGGCAGCTCACAACTGTCTATAATTCCAGTTCTAGGGGATCTAACACCTTCATACCAATGCACATAAAATAAAATTTAAAATTAAAAGGTAAGAAAGAAGAGAAAAGCCAAACAGTCCCTTATAGTTCACATATACTGGAGAGAGAATTATGTTGGCAGAGCTCAACCCTTCCATAGTTACTGCAACAATGTGGAATCAGCAACCAGAAGATAGTTGACAGGAGAACTTTCACCTCACCTTAAACACGGTGTTGACATCCACCACGGCCATGCTTCTCGGCTCTTCTGGGTTGGGAAAACTGCAGAACAGAAGAAAAAAGATGGACTTGGGAGAAACTAGGTCCAGCATCCCAAGACCGGGATATTCAGTCTGCATATACAGATGGATGCTGAGGTGCTTTTCCTATTCATGTGGTAAGAAAGTCTATAGGAGTTCAAGGCCAGCACAGTATACACATAGAGAGTTCTGGGCTAGCCAGGAATGCTACTTAGTGAGACTCTACCTCAAACACACACACACACACACACACACACACACACACAAACAAACAACAACAATAACTGAAAAGCTCCTGAGAGACACTCACAGGGATTATGACAGACCCTCATTCCTTCAGTTTGTAAGGCCTGCGACCCACCCAGGAAGTTCCCTTCCTACTTCATTAATACGGTAAGAAATAAACCTTTCTCATATCCCCTTATCACAAGGGTAGAACCCACCAGCTACGGGATGAATGTGCCAAGGGACAAACCTGCCATTCATCTGTAAGCATACACGGCAAAACCTTCTTTTAAACATAGAGAGATTTTCCTTCTTTTTTGAAGATGGTGTCTCACTAAATACACTAGGCTGGTCTCCAACTCAAAGATCCGCTTGCCTCAGCCTCCCAAATACTGGAATTTGAAATGTGTGCTCTATACCTTGCTCCGTTATTTGCATTTTTCTTCTCTTTTCTTTCTCTCTTTCTTTTTTTTGGATACAGTCTCACCCTGTAGCTCTGGCTGTCCTGAAACTCGATATGTAGGCCAGGCTAGGTTCAAACTCACAGAGATCTGCCTGCCTCTGCTGAGTGCTAGGATTAAAGGTATGTACCACCGTGACCAGCCTTTAATTTAAAAACAAAAAAACAAAAAAAACAACCCTGCACAACTGATGCCCTAGGTCCCTTCAACAACCCAGTAAAACACCTGCTCTTTTTTTTTCTGCAGGTAGCCTGAGCTTCTCTAAACAAGTGCCTTTTATTCCCTTTTCTTCAACCCCTTCTCCCCTAATAAAACTTCTGCCTGAGAGTTTATGCTCAGAATTGGTTTTTGACAAAGATTTACTTATTTTATGTTTATGGGTGTTTCACCTGCACGTGTGTCTGTGTACCATGTGTATGCCTGGTGCCCTGAGAGGTCACAAAGAGGGAACTGTATTGGCTGAAACTGGAGTTATGGATGGCTATGAACAGCTATGAGGGTGCTGGGAACTGAACCCAGACTCTCTGGAAGAACAGCCAGTGCTCTTAACCACTGAGACATCTGTCCAGACACTGTAAGTGGAGTTTCCCCAATCGCTAGAATCTTTCAAGAGACTTGGAGAGCTGAGACCTAGGTGGGCTTCTCAGAACATAGTTTTCTCCCCAGAATTCCCAAAGGGACAAGGAAATCCCTCCTCCTGCTGACTCTTCCTGACATGGGATCCCCCTCTATATCTAAGCTGACAAGGAAGTCCCTCCCCCTGCTGACTCTTCCTCACATGGCATTTCCTCCACATCTAAGACTGACCAAGGGCTTTTCGCAGAGCTCAGTAGCAGAAACCTTACCTGATGCTCAAAGACTTGGGCTCAGTCCAGCAATTCAAAAAAAATAACATAAGAAATAAAATGAGGGGCTGGAGAGATGGCTCAGTGGTTAAGAGCACTGACTGCACTTCCAGAGGTCCTGAGTTCAAATCCCAGCAACCACATGGTGGCTCACAACCATCTGTAATGAGATCTGATGCCCTCTTCTGGTGTGTCTGAAGACAGCTACAGTGTATTCATATATAATAAATAAATAAATCTTTAAAAAAAAAAAAGAAATAAAATGAAATTCTGTCCAACGATCAAAGCTGTGGCTCCAGGCTCTCAGTGTGAGGTATTACCATCATCAACAGGTTCAATAATTTTCAAAACCTCCACATCCACCCCTACATCTCACCCAGGATTGGTCAGCCCCCAACGCTATCTCACCCCACACTCCCTTTTACTGGGACAGTAGAAAGAGTTCCTTATGTCATGAAGAAAGGCTTTTTCTGTGGATTCCTCCACCAAAGCAAATTTTAAAAAAAAAAAAAAAGAGGAACCTGATCTCTCTGGAAGCCATAAACAAAAAAACAAAGTACATTTCAGGAACTTCCAATAGTTTCTGCAGGAACTGGTCAGGTGCAGTATTAAAGTCCGTTTTAGCCCATTTAAGTTGCTATAACAAAATACTAGAGACTAGGTAGCTTATAAACAACAAATTTATTTCTCAGTTGTGGTGGCAGAGCAGTCTCTATCTCAGCACGGACATATCTGGTGTCTAGTGAAAACCGATTTCCCGGTCCACAGATGGAGTCTCTGTACTGCATGCACTCTCACCTAGGGAAGGCGGGCAGCTCCATCCAGCCAGGGCACTACCCCCACGTAATTACCTTCAAAAAGCCCCCGCCTTCTAAATCCACGGAGGACTGGGTTTGTAACTAGAAACTGGACAGGGTGAAGATGGGGTACCACGGGGACACAGTGCTATGTCTGTTTCCTGCCGTAGACGCCTGGAGCTGAGGAAGTTGTCTTTTTTAGAACCTGAAGTGGATCACCCAGAATCCTGAACTTAAAATTCTGATTTCTCTAATGGTAGTGAACAGAGACTTACAGACCCTCTAAAAGTTCCCTAAACAAGGCTAAATGCCTACTCGGAGGGTGTGACAGAAAAGTAGAAATCCCACAGTAATTAAGCTTTTTTTTTTTTTTTTAACAAATACAATTTCTACACACTCATACATTTCTGAGATAAGATTTCCCTATGTGGCTCCCGGTAGCCTAGAACTCACTATGTTCCGACGGTTGTCCTCAAAGTCACCGACTTCCAGCTTCCGCAGCTCAAGTGCTGAAATTATAGATGTGGGTCACCATACCTAACTCCTAACTATAGCTAAAACTCACGCTGATTAGTAAATTCATCTGTCTTGAGCACAGAAATCCCTACCATCTCGACTATTTAGCTTTCTTTTCTCTCTCTCTCTCTCTCTCCAGTTTTTTAAGTAAATTTGACATGAAAGCAGTAGACGTATTCCGCTCCCCACACCCCCTCCACCCCGACTTTGCGTTGGAAGACTAGAGGATCTGGCAACCACCTATCACCCATGTTCTGACGACCTCGCGCACGTTCTCTCTCACCCTCCCGTACAATCCATATTCTCCAAAAACCTTTTCGCCCCTGCAATCACACTCGCGCCGCCTTAATCCCTGCGGAGGAGACCTCTTTAAGCCTTCAGCGCCATCCCGGAAACCGGGTGGGTCCCCTAGAGCCAGCCTGCAGCCGGCGACCAACGAATACAGGCCTCAAGGCCCCATACCCAAAGTCCCTAAAACCAAGGGCAGACTCACCTCAAAAGTATAAACTGAGCCTTCACGGCCTCGAACTCGGACGACCAGCGAATACCAACCAGGACAGTACCGGGTTAGGTCGGGTAGGGCACAGAGATGATCCGGAACAACCTCTCTCCAGCCACTTCCGCCATGTGTCTGAGCTTTTATAGTGGACTACATTTCCCAGAAGGGAGTGCTGCTCTAGCGTCCTCAGAATTTCAATGTCCGAGAGAGGAAGTAGAGACATGTTGAAATGAGAGAACGTACGATTAATCTTCTAAAGGGGGAATTTCTCAAGGATCCAAGGCTTGAGGCCTCTGAAACTTAAGTAGTTTCGGCTCTGCGGTGCTGTGGATCTTTACTCCAGTTACAGAAGTGAGGCAAGAACTCGAGCAAATGACCCAGCTCAGGACTACATTTCCCAGAAGACACCACAGACCACGTTCTCAGTAAAGAACTTGTCCAGCTCTTGACTGTCTGAGAGCTTCTCCAGTGTGGTCATCTGGATCATCGAGACAAGACTTTTAGGACTGTGAATGACTGAATAGGGCAAAGATAGCCCTATCTTTACTGGAACATTTAATCTACTTACACTTTAGCCACTAATTTAAAAGTGCTTCGTTAGCCTGGGCTGAGCATTGCATGTTGTAATCCCAGAACTCAGGAGGTAGAGGCAGGAAAACCAGGAATTTTAATGCTAGCCTCGGTTACATAGCAAGTTTGAAGCCAAGGTTTACCTAAGAACCTGTGTCAAAAAAGGAAAATAACTATAGACGGTTCAGCGTTTAAGAGCACTTTCTGTTCCGTTCCAAACACTCAGTTGGGCCAATCATGAACATTTATGTTGGATTAAATTTTACCGAGTTCTGTTTATTTGATTGTTTTTTAGATATTGTCTTACTAATATAATGAGAATTCAATGTCGACCATACTGGCCTCAAACCCTAAGATCCCATGTCTGCTCCTGGTTGCTGTGATTAAAAATATGTATCATCCTGCCACAAGTCTTGGTGGGTTTTGTTATTGCTGGTTGATTTTGCTGCTGTGAAAGCAGAGTCTTACTAGGTAGACTTGGCCGGTGGTCTGGCCTGGAGCTTGTTTGCTATGTAGATCAGGCTGGCCTCTAACTCATAGAGATGCTCCTGCTTCAGTAATCCTGGTAATGGAATTAAAGGGACAAGACTCATGCCCTGACTTTGTTGTTTGTTTTTGAGACAAATCTTGCCTGAAACTTGGACCGATTGTCTCAGCCTCCTGAGAGTTGGGATTACAAACCTGAGACATCATATCTAGCAGTGATTCTTTGTTTGTTTGTTTGTTTTTGTTTTTCGAGACAAGGTTTCTCTGTATAGCCTTAGCTGTCCTGGAACTCACTCTGTAGACCAGGCTGGCCTCGAACTCAGAAATCCACCTGCCTCTGCCTCTCAAGTGCTGGGATTAAAGGCATGTGCCACCACTGCCGGGCTCTAGCAGTGATTCTTAAATACATAAATTTATGTTTTCCAATGAACTTGTAACATTTTACCTCTTCTTAATTTTTCTATTATTTTTTGAGACAAGATTTGTCTCCTAGGCGAACTCTGATGTTTCCATCTTTCTATCTCATTCTTCCCATTGTCATAACTACAGGTGTGTACGCCTGATATCACCTTAAAATTTGAAATGGGGACTGTTCTATGAATATAGTACCTAATCCAAATCATATCTAAAAATAATGGCTTTTAAGTGTTTTAATTGCTGTACCTCTTACTAGCGGTCCTACACATGAATTTGGACATCTAGTGTAATACTGAAATTAAAATGAACGGTAATTGTGTCTAATTCCTCCAGTCCCAGGAAAAGAACAGTACTTTTGGCTAGGGATGCGCTCAGCAGTATAATACTTGATCACCATGTAGAAAGCTGAAGCTACCTCTGGGGACACTAAAGCAGCTATTCTGCCAGAGAAGATGTAGCCTGCAGTTAGTGGTGCACACCTTTAATCCCAGGCAGATGGATCGCCGTGAGAATCAGCCTGGTCTGCAGAGTGATTTTCAGGATGCCATAACTACACAGAGAAACCCTATCTCCAGAAGAGAGATACCGAGACACAGAGAGAGAAAGAGAAAGGGGCAATCTCGGCCATCTGGCTCAGAGGAATTCTCCTTGAAAGGGCTTAGAGGAGATATTGTGACAGGTGTGAGGGAGCATTTGGGGCTCTTGCTTGTGCTTCCCGAAAGTCACTGCAGCTTGGAACCCTCGGTTGGAACTACATTTCCCAGAAAACAACGGGTGCAGGCAATTTATGGTCCAGTCCCAGTGACCAAATAACACCCCTCCGCTCCGCAGGGATCTCCGTGCTTCGCAAAACCAATTCACCCGAAGTCCAAGGGCGGTGGAGGAAGGCTCTAGACAAATGTCTCGAATTTGGAGCTCCTGATTTCACATAGAGAAGCCGCCAGTTGTCAGGCCTGTCGGTTCGTGAAGAGCACAGGAGCACTTTGTGTGTCTGTGTGAAGGAATGTGTGGGAGCGCGCTTACGGCGGTGCTTGCACCCGTTGTTTTCTGGGAAATGTAGTTCCAACCGAGGGTTCCACGCTGTGCATGCGTGTGTGCAGGAGAAGGGGTTGAAAGAGAGAAGAGGAAAGAGTGAGAGAACGCGGGTGGTGGGGAAGAGGGCTGTGACTGGAAGGGTTGGGATGTTTCTACTGATTAGGAAGCACAGTGAGAAGCTGCGACTGGTGGCTGGGCGCCTGCGCGGCTGTGCCACCGGCCTTGAGGAGCAAGTCTTTTACTTTGCTTGGGCCGCTTGTAGTTCAATGTGTCCATGATCCACCTACGTTCCCTGCTGTTTTCGCCACTCTTTCTCCTCACGACTACTTGGGGCTGACACTGAAAGGTCTGTGAGAGGGAAGTCACAAGCTGGTCTCTAGATGAAATTCTTGAGTAAGAAGACACAACATTGTTAACAGCATGGGATGTTGGTGGTGGTTTCTGAAGTCAAGAACCAGCCCTGTACAAGTCTCAGAGTTCCTGCTCTGTAAACCTGAACACAGCATCCAGATGCTAAAGAAGTACCGTTTTATACTGTTCATCTTGGTACCCACCAAACCAGTTGTCTCTGACTCTCGTCCCTGGAAGATAAGTTCCCACTAACCCTGACTCAGTGACACCCACCCAAAAATGTAACAATTGCTTTAAAAAAAAAAAAAAAACTTCTATAACTTGCTTACCCAGATACCCAAAGATTGTTCTGACCTGCCTTAATCACTTAACTTGGTAGAACGGAACAATTTTTACTTGCCTGTATAGATAGATATTGAAGGTCTTCATGTGGTTTTCCCCCTTTAAAAGTCCTGCCCCTTTACCCCTTCCTCAAAGCAATCTCATGTTTGGCTCAGAGATTAGCCCATAATCAATAAATATTTTACTTATAATTGGATTGAGTCTTTCCCAGGGGTCACAAACTCCATATCACAGCTTCACTCCTATTTTTTGTTCACTGTATTCAGATCTTCTGCAGAAGCAGTAGGCACTCTTAGCTAATGGAGTCCCAGAAGGCAGTGTTGTGGTGGCCCTAAGACTTGATGAGGGGTTGGGGTGTAAGGCTGAAGCTACCTCTGGGGACACAGACCAGCCATTAAGAGATAAGGTCTACCACCAGCTAGTGGCACATGCCTTTAATCACAGCCCCCAGGAGGCAGAGGCAGGCGGATTTTTGTGAGTTCAAGACCAGCCTGGTTATAGAGTGAGTTCCAGAATGCCAAAGATACACAGAGAAACTGTGTCTTGGAAAAACAGAACAAACAAAAATAAGTAGATTTTCTGATGAGCTGTCTACCAAGCCCCTAAAGCCAGTTTGGGTTTTTTTTTTTTTTTTTATTGTTGTTTGAGATGGGATCTCACTGTATACCAAAGGCCTCAGAGTCTCAATATTTAAGAACGGTGCTTCTGAACCTTCTTAATGTTGTGGCCCTTTAATACACTTCCACATATGGTGGTGACCCCCAATCATAAAATTATTTTTGTTGTTACTTTATATATTCATCCTTACGAATATTATGATTTTTAATGTAAATATCTGTGTTTTCAAACATTCTTAGGCGACACCTGTGAAAGGGTTATTCTACCCCCAATGGGGTTGTAGGCGTAATTTTTTTTTGCAACCTATTTTAATAAGCTCTCAATCTTTCCTCTAGCCCACCACCCTGCAGAGGTCGTGGAAGAGAAAAGTTGTTAGGATGTGGGGGAAGTGGATCTGTTCAGCAATAGTTCTTTGCAGGCGAGCTCAACCTTCTTTGTCAGCAGTTCAGTCCCATAGCAAACGCCAAATACAACTTAGGAGCTGCAGACAGTCCTCTCGGCAGGCAGACACCATGCATGATCCAGCAGCTATAGTTCAATCCTGAAGAAACCAAAAGGCTTGCCAGCCTGAGGCAAAGCTGCTGAAGTGTCAAGCTGCCGTAAGAACTTAACGAGCAGTCCTCAGGCAAGTTTCTCTCAATGTTGGTGTTACCACAAGCTGAACTCAACAACGCTTTGTAAGGTGAACCAGTACATGCATGTCCTTAGTGAAGAATAGTGAGGTAGAACAAACCAAACCAAGGCTTCTCTCTCATTGTCTGTGGTGGCATATTTATACTCCTTCATCATGTGTCCTTTACTGTGTCTGCTTTAGCAAGACATCTTTTTACCTGTGTGCTCCAGGAGAACATCATTTGACATAACTGACTTTCCAAATACACAGGTTGAGAACTGCTGCATTTGACTCTCAAGTGTGGCAGTTACAGGTATGAACCACTGTGCCCCAACCTTAAACCCAGTTATTTATAAGAATGCAGCTCACGCCGGGCGGTGGTGGCGCATGCCTTTAATCCCAGCACTTGGAAGGCAGAGGCAGGCAGATTTCTGAGTTCGAGGCCAGCCAAAACAACAACAACAACAATAAAAAATGCAGCTCGCATACCTAGAAGCCAGCTTGGGCTACGTGAGACCCTGAGTAAAACACAAGACATCAAAAAATAATGCACACCAGAGATACTGGAATGTTTTGTTGTTGTTTTTTGTTTTTGTTTTTCGAGACAAGGTTTCTCTTTATAGCCCAGGCTGCCCTGGAACTCACTCTGTAGACCAGGCTGGCCTCGAACTCAGAAA